CATCATTTTTCATCTCTACGTAATATCACAGACAAATCTTAAATTAATTTTTATCGCAAATAACTCGATGGGTATATTTTAATGCGACGATAAATAAACTATATCTATCTATCTATCGCTTATATCTTTTTTATCTTTTAACTTTTTTTCTATTTATCTTCCTTTTTCTTTTTATTTCTTTCTTCTATACAATTTTTCTTATTCAATCGCGAGATAAGAAATTTTTCGTCGTATTAAAATTTCAAAGTTGAATATCGTTCTCTCTCTCTCTCTCTCTTCCTGATTATCACCGTTCGAAAGATCGTTAAAAATAATCAAATAATTCAATACACGTTATTCGAAACGAGACGCGACTTAAACCGTAAAGACAAACACCGATTCGTATCTTGATGCTTTAAAAGGTTTCGATTTGTCCTAACTGCACTTCGCGATAACGCGTGTTATGAATTATTAAACAAAAATAATCATTACAAAATTAATTTGTTATACGTGTGTTTAAGAAAAATATTTTCTAAGAAAATTTGAATTTGCAATGTTAAACAGCGACTAACGCTTTAAGTAGTAACCAATACACATCTCACAAATAACACACACATATTCAATTTTGATAATAAGATCGAAAAGGAAAATTTACGATGAACAATAATTTTATCGAAGGCAAAAAAACCCAAGAAAAAAAAAGATAAAAGAGAAAATTCTCATTTGTTTGCCCCCTTGAAAATTCTCTTTCATATTTAATCCATATATGTATATCTATCTATCTATCTATTTATCTCTATCAATTTATTATCTTTCTCTTTATTTTAATCTTATCGTAAAAGAAGGACAGAATAATAATGGTCTCCTTTCATGAAACATAAATGGAGAACGCGAGAACTTCTTCCTTCTATTTCTTTTTCATCGTTGCCAGGTAGAACTTAACGGTTGTTCGTTTGATTTTTGTTTGTTCCATTCTATTTTAGAAAAGATGAGATAAATCAAGATAAAAATTAGAGAGAGAGAGAGAAAGAGAAAGATATAATATATATATAGATAAGGATAGATGATAGAAAACGTATGTACGATTGAATTTGCAATAGAAAAATGTAACGAAGCAAAATTTCTTGCCATCTTCGAAACATTTCTTTCAATCCTTTCTTTCCTTCCTTCCATTTCACATTTGTTTTTTTTTCTTCTTCTTCTACTTCTTCGAATGAAAGGTAAGCCGCGATTGGCTGCAGCAGGTTGGGATCGATGATGATGCTGCTGCTGCTGGTGGTGGTGGTAGTGTTGCTGGTCGTTTCATAGGAAAGAGTGCCAACATGGCCTCGACGTTTATCCAAGAGAGAAAGAGAGTTTAAAACTACGCGTACGCCTTTTCTTATCTTGCCGTATTCCTTTTTTTTTTTTTTAGTTAAGAAAGAGAAAGAAAAGAGAGAGAGGAAAAAGGATAAAATGATCGAGCCTACTTATAGGGGATTTATCCTTCGATCTTTCGAAACGATCTATCTTTCTCTCTCTCTTTTTATCTGTCTTTCGTTCAATCCTTTCTCTTCCTTTTCTTGCTTTTTTCTTCTGTCTTCTTTTTTCCCTGGACGTCCTTGAAAATTACTCAAGGAAGACTACGTCTTCTTTTCCTCCTCGTGTTTCTTTTCCCCCGTTGTCAATATTTTCTGGAGAACCCCCCGGAAGAATAGTTTTAATGAACTTCGGGAGTGGCACACCTTTCCTTCTCTCTCTCTCTCTCTCTCTCTCTCTCGTCCTCGTTTTAATCAGAAGAACGAGGAGACACAAGCACAGACACACACGAAGATCTATCTACTGGTTGGTTGGTTGGTTGGTTGGATGGATGGATGGATGGATGGCTTTCAGCCATGCACGCACATCATGCATCCTCGAGCACCATTAGGATGCCAGCACTATTGATTTGATTGATTCTTCTATTACCAACTCAAGGACACTGTGTGTCTGTTAATCGAATAAATAATTTATTGTCTTCGAAGTATCATCATCCAAATTAGATTTCTTCTTCCTCGACTATGGGCAAGCTACTTTGGTGTACCAAAGGACTCGTTCTAGCTGTAAACGCTATAATCCAATAATCCAACTCCTTTTTGTTCTCCATTAAAAAGGTCAACGCTACTGGCGAGTCAATGCCCTTTTGACGTACGAGGAAACCCTCGTCCCCTAATCTTTCGATAGTCATATTCCTCAAATTGAGTACGCCCAATGGTCGGCAAACCTTTTTCTGTGGATATATTATCGCAAAGTGTTCTACGCTTGTACGATAGACCTTCACCTGCACGCCCTGTCGCTGACCATTCGGACCAACCAAAGTCATATAACCGCTCATGTTCTCGGTATTCCAACAGGAATCTACGTTAGAATCCTTCAGGCTGGATTTATTGAATTGTAAAAAGTTGGTATGCATTGCTACGTCCGCCGGCATCTTGATGATTCCTATCGTTTTCTCTTCCTTTATTACGAATTTCTTCCTTTCCTTTTCTTCCAACAAATTCTCGTCTTCTTCCTCCTCTATCGCCTCAAGCGAAAAATGATCCGCCAGTACCATACGTACTCTATTTTTTGTTTTGTTTTATATTATATTATATTTAAATAAATAATATATATATATAGATTTTTGTGTGAATAAGAGAAATTTTAGCTCGATTTGCGCTTGTAGAGTGAGTTTTCGTTTGTAGGAAAAAAAACCCAAAGTAAAACGATCAACTGACTTACTCGTTGTCTGATTGCGCGCGAGCAACTACCCGCGAAAACTTTCAGCGCTAATATTTATACGGTGCATCGAACTAAGTTACGCATGCGCATACCAATTGGAACATTGACGTGTCGCGCTCTGACGATGTTTAAACGAAAGATTCGCGCGTATTGCATTCACGCGTCTCATTTCGAACGTGCGAAAATAACAAGCGTGTTATTTATTTTCTTCTTTTTAAATTGTTTTCTAACGCTTCTCGTCGCCTTGTTTACTTCTCTCTTTCTCTCTCTCTCTCTCTCTCGAGAGAGAGAGAGAGAGAACTTCGTCATTATATCTGATTAAATTCGAATACAAAAACTAAGAAAACAAGTCTATTGTTTACTTTCAATAAATTCTATAACGATATAAACGTTGTTTTTTATTCGTTTATTTTGCATTGAATATAATTTTATGAAAAATAAAAAATAGACAGGAAGTTAATTAATCTTTTTTTCGTTACGATATTTTTTGGCATGATTGTATGGGTCGTTATGATGACGAAAGATTAAAATTAAACAAGATTTTTCGGTAATTAAAAAAAATAATATATGAAATATAAAGAAGAAGTAATTATAATCAAAAGATCTAATCGTAAATGTAATAATAATAATATTGCAAGCGTTTGTCGGAGGAAAATTTTCTAATTGTAAGAGAGAAAACACAGCTGACGGTCAATAAATACCGATGAATATCTGACAAAGAGGAAAAGGACAGGGTGCGTGTTTCAAGTGATTCACCCTAATTCTCGTTCTTAGCGATCCGTACGCTAAATTCGAAGAGTAAGGGGTAAAAAGGGAATTGGTAGACGAAACTCGGCCGGTGGCCAAATGCGTGATTCTAGGAAAGCTTCTAGCGGTGACAAACGATGGAAAAAGCACGAGAGCACCGTAGGAACGCTGGCAAGGAACCTTAACAGTACCAAAAAAATGAATAAGTGCTCTTAATTGCACATTTAAAATCTCCAGTTGCACACTTCATTTATTAATTATTTAATTACTTATTAATAATTGAAAATACAAAAACGTTTTTTCTCATTTCTAAGCAAAGCAATGAAGTTTTCTATTGTTTTTTCTTTTCAATCAATTGCTGACTTTTTGTTTGTTCGTTTTTCTCTTTACCTGTTCCAAGACAATCGTTCTTAACGAGTAAACTCCTTTAAATTATAATTAAAACGAAATATCTATATTAGATTTCTAATTGATGTTTATTCAATATTTCATTGTTTATCGCTTTTAAAAGCGATAATCAAAGTTCGGTTAAATTTTCGTAGAATGAGGATTAGTTAATATGATAAATAGATGATATTTCTTTGCGATAGAAAAACAACGTACGTCTTTTAAACGCGACAAACAAATGCATAATTCAAGTTACGAGTAAATAATTGTACTTTTATTTTTCTTTTTCTTTTTTTTTTTTTTTTTTTTTTTCGATGAAATCGTAATATACATATGTGTGCATATAAATGAATGGACACTGTTCTAATTATTTGTTTTTAGATACCTATTATGTTTCGAACGCCATTAAAAGTTTCATTACATCATTTTGAGATCGACAAGCACATTATTTATTGTTTTGGAAGAGTAATTATAATTTTCTTTCTTCCTTACATTTTTTCGACTTTTTATTATCCTTTTTTTTCTTTTTACTTTTATAAATTTTTACACAAGATCGTACGATATACTACGAAATTTATATTAGATTTTATTTTTTTCATATCAGCTCTACGATTCTTGTTTTTCCATTAGACGAATAATATATTTTAAAATTAAGTTTTTAAAATTAACATAATTTTCTTTGATTTTTTTTTCTTTAGCTTTGACAGAGAGAGAATGAGAGACAGATATATTACTCTAATATTAAAGTTATGCAATAATATCATTCAAAATCATTTTTATCCTCTACTTATACTCTCTCTATATGTGTGTATTTATATTTTTATATGTATAATAATTATTCACTCACTATAGAAGCACTTGGAAAAAATTGTACATTCATTGCACGATTTTATTAAAAAAAAAATTTTTTTATATAAGTAAAGTAGAATAAAGTAAGGTAAAAAAAAGAAACGAAATGAGAAAAACAAAAATGAGAAACACAATTACTTGTTTAAAAAAACATTCTTACGACAGTACCATTCTCTTTTGTACATATTTTCATTTCTAAACTCAATAAGAATCACATATGATAATACAGAAGAGTACTTATANTATATATATATATATAGATATAGTTTTCTTTTTATTTGTTGATTAACAACACGAAATTTGTCTCTGCGATAATACATCGGTATCTTTTCTTTTATCAATAACATTATACAGCGAACTATATAACACAGTAATGATGTTTAATAATAGGTCAAATGTTTTACTTTAATCCTTTTTTTATAGGATCGTCGAATATTGATTATTATTTAAATCTAAGAGCTATATAAAAAAATGAGAAATAGAGAAAAAAAAATCATATAATACTTTAAGTATATGTCTGATGATAAAATGAATCGGATAGGCAAATATATTGTTCGTTAACAATAGACGTTGAGAGGTTGATAAAGAACAAATTAGCTTAATTTATATCATCATAATTCTTAGATTTACTTCTTTTTTTGCGCTCTTTTGCTTGATTAAATTTGTTGTTAGTTCCTAAACCTAAAATAAAAGAAAGAAATATATTGTATAACAAGAAAATATTGATTATTTTCAATTGATAATGGGGGGTACGAATACTCTTGTGACTTACTGTATATTTCATTTGGATAAATTTAACTTACGTTTTAATTTTGCTACTCGAGAACGTGTTACGCGTGCTGTACCAGATGTATCGAATGTAATGGACTCTACCATCGAAGAACTCAAAGATTCTGTTGGTCTTTTTTTCAAGCTTACAACTTTTTCCATCGCTGGAGTCATCCACTTTGTTCTTAGGTCACAGCTGTTTTAAACAGAAGGTACGGTTTTTTTGTTGTTGGTATGATTATCAATTTGATTTCTAATTAAATCTTAGAAAAATGAAAAATATTAATTATATACTTACTCTGCCGATCGTGATTTATGTTTAAATGTTGCTGATTGTTTCTCTTTCATTTTACGTAAAACATCTAACATCGCATAAGTAGGTTGTGATGAAATCGGTGATGGCGGTGGGGACGGTGGCGGTGTCAAAGTAGTTGGCGGTGTTTGTATGCTAATTTTTGCTAATCTGTCTGGATGAAATGCCAAAACTTCCTCCCAACAGAATTTTTTTGGTTGACTTTTCAATTGTGTATTTCTTGTTATCCGAATCTAAAATAAATATTGAATATATTCTGCGATTAATATATATTACATTATATACATTTATTTGTTTAAGTTTAAAAAAGAGCGATAGTTAGAAATATGGCTACCAAGAAATGTGTGTATTAGTAATTAAATAGTATAATGATCTTATCATTAATATATTTTAATTACCTCGCCATTTACTGGTCTACATGGTTTACGTTCTCGTAAGTAGGGTCGCTTAATCGACGTGGCACAAGTATTCTCATTAGATTCCTGAATGTTGAACAGACACGTAGGAACTTTACTTTCTTGATTCGTACCGGGTTGAAATAGACTTCTTAAATAAGAATAATTTGGTTTGCTTTCAAAGCCTAATTCTGTGATGTACTTCATATATTCCATAAGGGCAGCTGTTTACAAAAATGTATATATATATATACATAGACGTATCAAAATATTTTAATAATTATCATAAAATAAAATTAAAACAAAAAAAATTATTTACGTGGATAATTTTTTTTATTTGGGAAACATTTTTCCATGAGTAGGGGTAAATTAGATAATAAAGCTTCCTTTTCAGCATGAACTTCTTCTGGATTAATTGTTACAATTAAATCATTATTATCTTTCTCCCATGGTAATTTACCGCATACCCATTGTAATAAATTATATCCTAATGTTTCAAGATCTCCTCTTCTCGAATGTGCTGAAAACAAATACACAAATTAATTATTAATTATAAAAAATACAATTATTAACAATATACATACTTCCATGATGTGCATCACGGGATGTAAACTCTAAGGTTCCTTCATGTGCCCTTCTTTCATCATGAACAAATGGCTTATGGATTCCTGCTGTTGTCCTAAAGCGGTAAGCTAATCCATAATCAACCAAGTATGCTTGCGATTTTTCTCTTACTACAGAGTCGTCATAAGGGGCTAATAAAATATTAGGTCCTTTAATATCTGCATGAGCATATCCATGACTGTGAATATATTCTAATGCATCTAGCTGTAAAGTTAAATTAAATATAAAGACAGAGAGAGATTTACCTTCCTTTTTTTTCTTAACGATTATATCAAAGAATAACAAAAAATAACATATTATCTCACCATTTGTACAGCTAAATTATTAACAAGTTTAGTTGGTAATTTTCTGTTGTTTAATATAAACAGTTTACCAATATCTATCCCATATCTTGGTATCACTAAAAATCTGTAACGTTGCCCATTATAGATGTGAGAACCAGATCCTTCATAAGTAGGTACACCTATTCTTCTTTTTCTTTGTGTTTTACACCAACTTTCAACTATGACAAATGATTAAAACACGAAGGTATATATAATTTAATATGTATAATATATTTTTAATTTAAAAATTATAATAATAGTAATATTAATTACTAACTCATATGTTTTCTTGATGCACGAATGTAAAAGTTCATTTCAACAAACAAAGGTCCATTGTTATGAGGTTCAATTTTAATAACATATTGTGCATCGTCTCTTACTGGGGAAGTTATGTCTTTGGAAGCTACAAAAATATAATATTTTTATTAATTAGTACAAATTTCGAAGTTATTTTTTATTTCATTGCGATATGATTTATTGCATGTGTGTCATATTATGTGTTTCTTTGGCCTGTAAAATTTGTCATGAGTAGGATTCATGTTTTTCATATTTGGGCCATTAAGTGAATCATGAGTCTTGTTCTTATAGCGTAAGAGGTTAATTAACCCTTGGAATGTTGAATATTCTTAGCCAAAGTACTTTGTAGGAATGAATTAATAAATTACAATTGTTATTCTTTCAAATGAAATAATGTAAGAAAGTTTTTTTCGAGTATAATTTTGATGCAAAACAATATCAATACACAAACCAATATTGCATTATTTGTATTCGTATTAGCAATCGCCAAATGTATATATTCATAGTATTTAAATGGTTAAAAATGTATCATACAAATTTCATACCTAGGTATATATCACCAAATCCACCGTATCCAATACTGTTACCAAGTCTCCATTTGTTTTGTGTAATATCTGTGAGAATTTCATCAACTGGTAATTTAGCTGGTAATCTACAGCCCGGAGCTGCAATTCTTTTAGGTAGATCATCTCGACTTGGCGCCATTTTTACTATTTGATCGTAGAGAGAGATTAACATTTAACTTATTTTCTTATTAGATACGCTTTATATACAAAGCTTAATATTTATCAAATCTGTAATTGTATGTAGATGCTACTGTAAGGATAAAAAGACTAACGTCATCTTTATGAAATAATGACAAAAAATATATACAAATTTGTATATGAAATGTAAAAATAAAATGTCCTTATAAATGAAAATAAATATTCGTGAAACATTCAAAAAATCATCGATAATCGTTAAATCTGATAAATGATTTTACAAAATAAATGAAATATCTTTGATATTGATTAAATGCAACTAAATTCATAGTTAAAGTTTTTAACTATGCGTACTTACATTGTTTACGTATGTTTCAACGGTATATTTTGTATTGGATAACGTAAACTAACATAACACTATCAATTATTTTTATCTATTTAATAAAAAGACTGACTGATATAAGTGCAAATAATATTTGAATATAGTACGCAGTAGAAAAAATTCTTAAAACGATCGATATTATATTATTTTACGTTTTAATAATTTAAATATAAACGTATGTAAATATCGAAATGGAAAGTTGGTTTCTTTACGCGAATGAGAGATTCACTGAGATTGTTTGAAAATAAATGAGAAATAAAATCACTAGTTGCTTATCTTGTTAATGATATTTAATTCATTGTCGTGTAGAAAAATGCAATTTTAAATGAGATTTTTTCCTTATTACACCAATTATAACTTAAACAATTAGATCTATACTTTGTTTTCTTTCTATTATAACGGCTTAACGTTAATGTACGCCATTCAACTTTATAATGCATTGCACTGCCATTTCATAGACCAAAGTGTAAAGTATAACATAGAGTGGAAAAGTTGCTATACTGAGATGCCATCTGGATGACATCTCATTATTAATTTCTAATCTCATTATTATTTATCTCTATTACATTATAATAGATTATTATTAATTACTTTCTTCCTTTTATTTCTCTTACATATTATATAATAGAATATTAAATAATATTATCAAGAGTATAAATATTGTTTATTTATATCGAATGAGCACATTTTTCGATATCGTTCGAGAATAACCAATCAAAATAAGTCATTCGGAATCAACCAATCAAAAT